TGATGTGCCGTTTCAGACGGACGGAGGTTTCAGACGTCCAAGCGAGGTCCGGTGGGTTCCACAGAAGAGGCAGAATCAGAAGCTACTGTTCACAATGAAAGGGAGGCACAGAACGACTGATTAACTGCGAATCGTGTTTGGAGCGTGAATTATGAGTGCTAGGGAGCTGCATCTTCATGGTAGGGGTATTCAGGATATCTTGTATGTGGGTGTGTCTTGGCAAGTGGGATAGCGAGACCCTCCAATCACTATAAGTTACCAAACACGGCGAAGAATGGAGAGAGCCCTCCTTCAGGATCCGCGGAGCCTATCAGTTGGGATTCAGAGCCTCCCCGTTGGTCCATGCGTCGGAGGAAAGATTCTCTTTTTTTCTTCCTCGGCTTTTAAAGCTGAGTTTGGCCAGTTTGCCCGCTCACCTCGTGTTTGGCCATACTGGCAAACTCACCAACTCCTGCTCCTTCCAAGAAGAAGCTGCGGAAAACTTGCTCGTTGACGACCAAGAGAAGACTGGTGAAGGGAAGAGTTTGATGGTGAATGTTTTTTTGCAAGAACTTGCCATTCAGGTGTCGGTGTGGGCTGGTTCAGCTTCTCAATCTCATGAAAGCCATACCAGGAGACCCCATACTGTAGCTGAGTTGAGTAGATACTGTACCTTATTGATAATTATTATTGTCATTGTACCTTTTTTATGCGAGAAAACAGAGTGCTAACTGGTGATCAGTTTTTTGTGTAATGCTTCGTGGGGAATTGGTCCTCCCCCCTCTTGTATGTGGGTATGTCACGTTGGTGCATAATACGAGCGTTTTTGGCTCGGCCCCCCTCGTTTCCTTCACCGGTCCCATGGTCACCTAGAGTGCCCCGTTTTCACCAGAAATCAAGGCACAGCTGTGGCCTGGGACCAGACCATTTTTCGAGAGAAACAAAAAAACGAGAGTTGCGGTAGACGAATCAGACGAGCGTAGCGCCAACAACATCTCTGGACGGCGTGGTTTCGTTCCGGTTTCCCAAAACATGCACTATGAAGTACAGAGGCTGCATCATAGGAAGCAGCCAAGACCCAGTTGCTGGGAAGATGTACGCAGTAGACTCGGTGTGCCTCACTGTCAACTCGGAGTGACTCCGCGCCACTGGAGTCTGAAGCAACTTGTAAACTTTCCAAGTGCTTGTCCTCAATCACTATGTTGTCCTTGAATGAGACGCCTTCCACATGAAGACCATGCACTTACCTTGCGTGGCACATTTGTTCCATGCCATGCTTGAAAAGCTCCTGCTGGTCATGAAGTTAAGAGCACACCAGCACATCCGAACCTCAGCCTTCACACCACATTGAAGCTTCGACCAACCGACTTGGGCCCATGAACAGACGCTGCAGGTATACTTCGAGTCATCAAGCAGTTGTCCAGGTGTTGGGTTTAGTGACAACGGTTTAAGTTGCTCTGAGACAGGCTGGTCAGGTCAGCTGGTTCATTTCGCTTGACCCAACCCCGCGTCCGCCGCGTCTGCCGCGTCCAAACCGCGTCCGGCGCCGAGGCGCTGTTTGGACATTTGCTTTCAGAAGTTCTGCGGGACAGCGCAGCTGGTGTCTCAGGAGCCGAGAGGATTCAGGGAAGGCAACGCCCTCTGAAGATGTGGGTGTGCAGCAAGGCAACGACCCAGGCAACGACCCAGGAAGAAAGGAAATGGACCAAAACCATCCAAAGCTCTTCCAACATACACCATATTCTGGGTGTATGTGGTACATTGTGGTACTTGATACTCCACCAGAAGGTCTGTGGCAATATCCCGATTTGATTCGTTGATGCTTGCTTTCTAAGGTGTAAGCACTTCCCGGCCATGTTTTTGAATATGGCTAAGGGACGAAGGTGGTTGGCTCAGCAGAAGTTTGGCGAGGTCGAGGGCCCCTCTGCTGGACTCAGCAGTGAGGCTTCTTCTTCCGGACACCCATCAGAACAAAAGACGGAGACTCAGAATGTTCTTTGCATCTCCCCATCCGGAGTACTTCTACTTTCCGTCCCCCTTTTCAAAGGGATGATCCGGGACCAACGGGGGTAGATAGCAGCTGCCGGCCGTGCCTAGCGATCGAGCAGCAGCGACCGGCAGGGCGGAACTTCCGATCGACCACGGACCGGCTCCACTCGGTAGCGCAGGAGAAGCAAGCCTGGGAGGACGTGGCAGCCATTGGGGGGGCACGTGGCAGCACGTGGCAGCGGCTTGAAGGGTGGGAGAATCGTTGTGTTGTGTTTTGTTCTTTTTAATGTGAAACATGAATGTAGCATCATGTAGCAACAACAGATCCATGGTGGTTGTGCTGAAAATTGCAGAAAGGCTGCGGCTATTCTTTGGTTGTTTTGGACGGATTTGCCCTACTAACGCTGTTGGTGCAGTTCCTCAATCTTAACTAGACACCCCTGGCCCCTGGCCCAATGAGTTTTGCCTTTTTGGAATGGTTTTTGTTGTCCCTACTCAGGGGCTTTGCCTGGAGGTCTCCTTTTTATCCTTTTTGTTCCAGTCGAACCCCATGTGGCATGGTGAAGCACCACTCCAATCCACTTGAAAACGAAATGATGATCAGCCCCCAGTGGTTTGGACTTCCTGCAAACCACTGCCCAATGGATCAGCCATGGCCAGAAAACCCAATGGATCAACACAACTGCTCGTTTGTATAGGTCGCCATTGTTCGACTGTAAATTAAAGACCCGAGTACATAGAAGGATCCTGGCTCCTTGTATACCCCCAGATTATCCAAGTATTGTCGTGCATGTATATAGTCCTGATCCTAAGGATGGAGATTGGCATTGAACTCTTCCTTACAACAATATGGGTCTTCCAGGCCGAAGGTACTTGAGCATTTGAGGTAAATGGTTTCCAGAGACCATTCTCAACAGATCCTTAGGCAAAGTACCTTATAGGGTAGTACACATACTATAAGCATACTATAAACCACCCCTGCAAAGTCGATTAGATATGTCGTGCATGGAGCGTTTTGGGTATTTTGTAAATCGAATTGGTTCATACCTAGTAGCGCCTTGCTCCTAGTAGCGATGCCTATTGGGCTTCCTCCCTTGCACACTGGTGAGGAGCAGCAGATGCGGCTTCAGCAGCGGCAAGCATTGGCCACCACAGCGGTGCGCTACCACAGAGGGCTTTTCGCTGGGATAGACGGATGGTGTGGGGGGTTCAATGCTGGCGATTTCAGAGGGACTCCCTTTGGTGTGGACAGCACACAGCATGTAGTTTTCAGGCGAGTTAAGCTTATGCAGATACGTACAGTAGACCAAGCGAAGAATGGTAGACATTTCACTTGGTAAAGGATGTGTTCCCAACCCCTGGGGAGTTACAATGAACCACATTCCTTATCATTCCTTGCGAGAGGGGAGCTGGACCCTCCAAACCCACAGGATAGGTGATGTACCCCCCGCTCCTTGTCCAAAGCAGGATGTGATTGGAGGGTCGGTTCCTTTACAATCATGTTATACAACATCACACACACACATCACTCAGTAGGTAGCTTGCTCATCTTGCTGCTATCACCTGCTTGCTGGTACCGTCATTCCCGAAAACTGAATGGCAGATTGTGTAAAATGGTGTAAAAGTAGACCCTTGAATTTCATTCAACATTTTTTGCCTGTCCGATGGTTGTTTAGGTCCATACGTATAATATTCCTGTCTGGAGACCTAGATTCCAGTGGCGTAAGTTGTCGCGACACCGGAGGCAGCTGGTAGGAACCATCGCCGCCGTAGGCACAAATTCCACACAGTGGAATAATCTTGTTTTGTATAACCTCCCCAATTGAAGATCAATGTCGCAATCCAAACTGTGTCGTTTCTTTTGTCTTTCAATCAAGAGTCTTAACGATTATATCATGAATTTCCTGAGACAGACCGACCACCTAGGCACCCGGCACCCGAACACCCCAGGAACTGATTCTCACCCCTAGCTAGCGCTCCCCAGCTCGCCAGGTGCTCGGAACCGTGGCCACCACTCTGACGATCGGCCTAGGCCAGACCTGAGGACCGTTCTCTCGGAGGGGTCCCAAACAGTTGACCTGGACCGTAGCCGGGGCTACGTGTGGGGCTACATGTGGTCAGGGGTGACCTGTGGTCCCGGCGGGTTCAGCGCACGAGGGGGATTCATATGGGGTTTCCCCAGCAACATGGGGTTGTCGAGGATGCTACATCCAGAATTCCAGGTGAGAGTGAAGCAAAGGTCTCTCTCAGGCCGGGTCATACCATCATAGCTTTCAAGATCAAGAGTTGTTTCTGGCATGCTCCTGGTGTAAGTTCCAAGGTCTTTGCACCCCGAAATCATGGATAGTGCCACCATTGTTTGAGGGGAAAAGACAAGCACACAAAGCACACCAAAAGCATAGATTTCAGGCTCAAGAGCACTTACAAGGAGGACCAATCCGCTTCAGCCAAGCCAGGTGTTTGGACATGCTGGGACCATCATGGACCATCATCCTCTGTCAACTCTGAGCTCTGTAGCATAGACCTGGACTGTTGGGGTTGGGACGCGGCCAATTCTCTGTGGACAGTGTTTGCCATTCTTCCCAGATCGAACCCCAACAGTAAACCGGGGGGAACCTGCCGACGCATCTCAGGCTGCTATCTCTTCCGCGGCGACGACTGAGAGACGAAGTTTTCAGAGCGCCGGCCTGCGGCGAGGAGGAGTATGGTAGATTTGGCGGAAAAACCGTTGGGGTCTGGGGCCCACTGGGGTCGTTGGAGATGGGGTTGTTAAGTCTCAAGATGTACATCAGATGTAATGAGTCGGGTGAAGTGTGAAGAGTGAAGAGAAAGGAGAAGGATCCGTCACACGGCTGGATTCAGACTTACAGACTCGGCTCAACTCCCTGAAGCAACCGAAGACCTGCATCCCCCACTTCATCTCCGTTTGTGTCAAAGGTTGAAAACTAAACCAGCTGATAACAGCCCATTTCACCCTGGTAGGTGGACGGTGTTTGGTAGCAGCGACCACCGGTGCAACCTACAGCCGCCAGGTGAACTACGGCGGCCGCGTCACGGATGACAAGGAGAGGTCCCGGAGAGAGAGCTGGCCATATGTGGCATGTTTAAAAGAACCACGTGGAACTCGCATCCATCCCTGGGATTGATCAATTGTAAATATATGTCATGAGTCATGTCCTATATTGTTGTTTGATCGCACTAGCCCCACTTGAAGGCAATTCCTTTATGGCGACGTTCATCCGGTTGCGCACGGTGTTCAAAAGCGATTTGCTGACCGATTTGGCTCTTCGATAACCTGGTCAACGATGGATTCGGGGCCCCGTTTGGGCCGCTGTGTTTTAAAGCAACCAAAAAGCAAAGAAAACAAGAACGTGAGACAACGTACGTACTGAATTCAATCAAAGGATTATACATGATTATTCATATATAATATATTGTGTGTTTTTTCCCTTCCAGTAGAGCTAGAATTGTTTCACAGGTGGAATTGCCTGCAGGCAGGTTCATCCTCTAAAATGAGATGTTTTGGACACCGCTCATCACTTCCTTTCGGCAGTTGATTTGCTTTTTTCTCATGCAGGATGTTCGCCTGATTAGCGCCTTCTTGAAGCGATACTTCAATGAGGGTGTTCGGGAGCACAGCTTGTTTGATGGACCATCAGAGAGGAGAACCCCGGAATCTGATGGACCTTTGTAAACCCTTTTATTTATTTTTGTCTGAATCAGTTGCCGTAGTAACGTACACCAAACAAAACACACCGTCAGACCGTCTAGTCTAGCCCAACTTGCGGAGTCTGGACCGGACATGCCTCGAGTCGACGTCGACTCGTCTGTCTGGTGTTCGGTGGAAACACCGAGCAAGCTGTTTGGGTCGCAATCAGAGATTGACCTTATGAGCATCACCTTCGGGATATAGTGGGCGACCTTATATAGATCATTTGGGTTACTGTAATACTTCATGCTGCTCCAGTATTATCCAAACAGATCCCATCTCATCGAGTTCTTGGCCCGATCCCGAACCCATCCGATCTCAACCAGCTTGGTCCGTGGACTCCTGGAACACCCCTCGGCCGGAAGCCGCTTTTGGAGAGATCCAATGTTGACAGGAAAAGTGAGACATGCCCAAGACATGGGGGTGTAGCGAAAAACCACTGGGCTGTAGAGGAAAATGCTCGAACACCACGCGTGAATTCCCAGGGTCAATGGGGTCGTCTGTGGGGGCGTATTAGAATAGGGAGACCTCCGAGATCTCCCAGGCAACGACCCCCTGGAAAAAGCAAGGTTACCGGGGGCCCACGGGAGTTGGGTGATTATTTTCGGAGCGATTGTTAGACGCCCGGTCAACCGGGGGGCCCTGGTAGACCAAAATCCATGAATGGTTGAAGGTCTCCCTGTTACATGCTGCGTCTCGACGCAGCCGAGGTCCTGGAAGACGGCTACAAGCTCAGCCCCTTGGATGCCTACACCTGTCCCGATGAAGGCTCCCTGGAAGAGGCCTGGTCTCCGGTCGGATGGTTGGCTTTGGCAAAGCAAAAGTGGGATGTTAGGTGGTGGGAAATGATATCTTCCAGAGGATAGGAGTTCCCCAGCCCATCTTCACTGGGTAGGTCAAAAAAATCATACCAATTGGAGAGCACTCCTGTTTTGAGATCGTTTGAGGGCACTGTCTCGACTCTTTAATTTGTTTGTTGTCACAAATGAGACCCATTGTGCAAGATAATCGACATATTATATGTATATATAAGTGATAAGTGATACCGACCAGCTTGTACGTACTGCAGGGATGTGGCTCAACAAATAAGACCTGGGACATGCAGGTTTCCGATTTTAGTGATAGTTTCCATCATCCCTGGGGGATGATGGGCACCTTATTCTTGAGCCATAGCTTCTAGACGCCCCACAGGACTATTATAGTTACGCAAGCAAGCGAGCGGCACCAGAATGGCATTCCTGGCATCATTTACGTAAGCGCCGGACTTCCAGGTTCGAGAGCACGTGCGGAAGTTGCCCATGGACGAAGATCCTCAGGCGACTTCGCGGACTTCGCGTCGGCTGCCTCCGGATCCGCCGGGGAGACGGAGATCGGACTGGAGGCTTAAGAAGAAATGTGGAGAAGTGAAAACAAATCACTAATTGAGAGGCCGCAGGGGTACAAGTTTGTACATCAGCATACATCCAGCATGTTGCTTGCAAATCTGGGGAACCAGCCCTGTTGCGGCCCTGTTGTGAGACCAATGTTGGGGATAGTTCAATTAGGTTGATGGGTTTCAAGCCAAGCTTTTGAGCTGCTCAAAAGTCGAAGAGTAAGTGGAACAGCAGAACTGTTTAGACACCTTTGAGTGCGATGATTCTTTCAGAGAAGGATCCAGGGTGAAATGACTCCAAGCTTCGGCTGCAATTGGTCAGGCTCCTTGAGCAGCCTCAATGACCCTCCCAAAGTCAGCATGCAAACGCGTTAGCCTTTGCAATCTCGGTCCTGTCCAGTTCGCCGGTTCGCTGGGCTGCAAGAGGCCTACCTTTGTGGAACATATGCCGGTTTGATGCATGGTGAACCTTGAGACAGCATTGACCTTCAAAGGATTCTCCAAGACCAAAAGAAAGAACGCCGGATCGTCGCCTCGTCCTTTGGATGGCTGTCGCGGCGCCCACGATACGGCGCCAGGTCTTTGGCCTACATCCCAACGCACAGATCACCGCACAGACCGAGGTCAGGAGGGTGTTGGAGGGTCGTGTCATGCCGTGGGTTTCGGAGTGAAGAAGGTTTGATTAGGATGGTTGCTGGATCACATGGTGTTTCGATCGCAATAGTATAGTACTCACCAGGACCTTCAGTACCTGACCCTTTGATATCCCAGGATGAGGTCACTCCAAAGAGGTCACTTTGAAGGTCCTGGCAGGTTGGGAAAAAGTTTGTTGTTTTAGTGATATACACATGATTGAGATTATTTGTAGTGTCGCATCCCTAAGCAGTTGGGAATCATCCCTTTTCATAGCTTTGGATGGGAAGACTCTGTTGATAGGCGTGTGCCAACAGCCTTCCACTCGGCTGCCACTTATATAATACTCAAGCTGAACCCCATCCCAACAGAGACTGCAGACACATCCCATCCATCCTACCCCCCAGACCATCCATGAATGGATTATTTACCTGCATTGACCATCATCCACCCCCTTGTTCAACATGTTTCAACCCGGCCACGGGTACGGTAGCCATATAAGCAGTACACGAAGCCTATGGGTCCGTCCTCCTCCGTTTGTTCCTGCTTCGTTGGATCCCATCCACCCCATCCGTCCGTCCACAGGCAGCGAAACAGTTCTTGGGCATCATCCTCTCCGTCCAGCCGCGCATCGCCAGCGGTGGTGGGATGAAGCCGGAAGACCTCGTGGCGCAGATCGCCGAGGCGAAGAGCAGCGTTCTCGACGTGTTTGGGCGAGGGTGACCGGCGTTGAGGCGGTTTTCAGGTGGGTGGAGGGTTGGGAGATGTTGGGAGGCTTTAGACGCCTCGGCAAGCATAATGATGCTGGCAAGGTACAGTCAACTGACATGCTGGAGCAACACCCTGCACTTGCAGTGGTTCATATATATACATATATATATATATATCATTATATGGCCAAGTTGGACTGGTCCTCCCAGAGCGCAGCGACGTAGAGCGAGATGTGTTTTTGCTTGCACTTGCCCTAACCCGCCAAGCCCATGGCACAACACCACTCTTTCCATGATGAAACGGACATCCGACCCCTGAATTGTGGCGTTGTTTGGTACTTTCTAACAAGACCCAACACACCACCACAATGAGACATGCGTCACTTTTGCTTGGTGCCATTTGGTGCCCCAAGAAATACTCCAATGCGGCCTCGGTGACCATGGCAGGGCTTCTTGGGGCGTGTGCCCAAAGTCATGAACCGAAAAGAGGCCAACCCCGAGACGTGCGCCGGGCCGGTAGTGAGTTTGGGGGACAGGACGAGCAGCATGTTCCAGTGTCGGTTGCCCGAAGAATCTGTGCACCGGTACCTCCACCGAAGAATCTGTGGGTCCGGAACCCTTTTCATTGGTGAAAGGGCCCGGCTTCTTTGGGTGGAAGAGTTTCCTTCAATACGTCGGTTCATTGGTTCAGTGTGGGGAGGCCGAGTGGCAGGAGCTGGTCGATTTGTTCCGAGCCACTCCTCACTTGATATTTCTATAGTGTGTCATGGTCTTGAATTTATTGGCGGTGCTTTTACACACGGAAGGCACTGGCACACGCAATGCTGCACAGCATAAGCAAAACCTTGCGTGTTCTTGTTTATATTTAATAGTGTTTGTTTGTTTAAGTTTAAACATGAGAATGATGGTGTCCTGTTTCAATGAATTTATGATAATTTATGAGTTGTTATATCAGTTTGAGGTTCCAAAAGGGTTCAGTAAGTGGTTTGACAAGACCTATTTTCCCCACACTTGGGGACCCTTACTTCGTATGAGCACAGTTCGTCGATTGGAACCACAAACATTTTTCCGGACTCCGGTCATTGGACAATGCAAAGATGTTGACTCTTGTTGCTTGTGGCTGGATGTATTTCTTGTTAAAAGTGCTGACTCTTGACCATTTGTATTTCTTTTGGCTGGGTGTATTGCGAAGATATTGACTCTTAACCCACCTGACACGAACGACCAAATGGTCTCGAGGGCTGTCTTTTGTCCAAGCTAGAACACCTCCACGATGCTCGCCACGACGAGGTACAAGAAGACACCGGAGGGTGGAATCGTCTCGCTGGGCGTTTTCCATGGGCAGGCGAGGTGAGGGGGAGCGGTTTTCGGGGGGGGCAAGATGGATCCGTGTCCTTCAATCATGTGTGGACTGCCCAAACACGACCTGTCTGGGACTGCCATATATGGCTGATCAATTGACCCCCAAAACCACCCCAACTGATCGGAATATATATATGGCATTCATGGAGTGTCTGGGTGGTTTTGCTTTTTGTGTTATGTGTTTGATGGTGGCCATGTGTGGCCTTTCCATGGTCGAATGGTTCATGCCACACGTATTCATGTCTTCACCGCCGGCCCGGTGAGTCATACTGGATGGTCACCTCCATACTGGACTGTCCGTCTTGAGGTTGGAAAGGAATCCACAAGATCGAACTGCAGGTCTGATCCTGGTCTGATGGAACCGGACATCAAATCGGTGACCATCTTCGCGGATAAAATACCAGGTGATTCAAGTTCATTTTTTAGCTTCGACCGCCAGCTTGCCAAAAGTTTGGCAGATTTTTTTTCAGAAAAGATCTGCATGTCAAACTTCCACTGTTATCATTTCACCAAAGGTAGCAAGCCAGCAAGCTTCAGCATGCTGAAGCGCTACCTGAGTTCTCCAAGCGCTTGGATGCATTCTGCAATTGGTTACCCTCAGCGGCCCGTTGGCCCATTTGGCCCTTGAGATTCTTCAGACCTGTTTGTTCAAAGGAACTGAAGGACCATGTGGCTGTGAGTCAAGAACTGGAACCACACCCTCGTAGGTTGACCAACCAGTGTAGTCTATTCTGTTCATCAGTGGTCTCTCGCATGGTCCGTTTGTTAAGATCCACAGCCGTTTCTTTTTTCACAGCTTCAGACTGGAACGTTTGGCGGTTTATCTCCCGGTCCGGTCTCCCGGTCAGGTCTCCCAACCGAAGGGACCGCCGAGTCGTATCGCGAGCGGCGATTCGGACTCGCGATGTCGTATCTCGAGCTGAAAACCGCGAAGTACCGTGGTATTCTTCCGGAAGAGGTTGGGAGAGTAGTTGAATCAGAATGTGCGTGGCTTCGCCATGCTTTTTGTCACGTGACAGGAAATGGATCGCTTCAATGTGCTGATCCAATGCGTCCGGAAACTCTGCATCCTGATTGTTCAAAGATCTTCAAAGCACATCAAAGCACTATATGATACTATATTATAAACAAAACAGGTGCCCATGATCCACTCACTGGGTTGAGCATATGTTTGAACCAAGCCACCCTGACATGGAACTCCTGGTAGCTATTTTGTGGATCGATTTGAAACTAACCCAGCTGACAAGCCCAATAGCAAAGCATCCACCAAGATCTGGCGAATGTTTTTTCGCCTAAAGAATGTACAACCCCAAGCTATCGCTATTGGGGACACATCATCTCAGAGACCCGAACCATCTCAGAGAACCGATGCGCTGGTCGAGCGCGATCTTACGAGTTCAGACACCCGAACCGACCTGTGAATCCACCTGCGAGCTTGGTGGTACAGCCACGGTGTGTTCAGCCCAAAGAGGGATGACACGGTAATTTCACTCCAACAGAAAGAGAGAGAGAGAGAGAAAGAGCTGGGCCATTCTTTCTTAGGTTGAAACTGATCTTGCTCGACGTTCGAACTCCACTAAATCTAGAGATTCCCGGCGCGTCACTGCAGTGCACAGGTGCACAGGTGCCAGGCGACTTGAAACAGAAGAAAAAGCAAACAGATGAACAAAGCATCACAGTATATCAAATGATGTGATAGCACTAATACTACCAGTGCTTGACGAGGTGTCAGAGCACTACTAGTAACTTGCGCCAACGTGCGCGAACTTCCAGCACGATTCAGGAGATGACTGTCCCTTAGGCACCGACTCCTGAGAAGGTGGTAATGACAGGATAGTAAAGCTGGGCCCCACTATACACACATGTACACAATTATACACACCTTCTTTGTAGACGGGTCTATTCTTGTTTTTATTATGTCTTTTGTTTTTGGTTATTATTCTGTTTCAAATGTATGTTCTCCTTATTCTTCTTATTTTTGTTATTCATATATATTTGTTGTTTCTTCTTCCACGAGGCTGACTAGGGAGGTCCTCTCGTTTAAGCACTGATAAGTGCAGCTTAGTCTGACTATCTCTGACGGAAAGGGTCTCGGTTGTGACGCGTCTTTTTGTCTCGAATGTGACGCGGAGAGCTTTTCTCAGTTGTGACGCGGAGAGCTTTTCTTTTAGAGAATCTGTGTGCTTCTGGGCCCTTGCTTGGTTCTCATAAAGTCATAAAGCTCCAATCCAGCTCCACACCAATTCCACCAAATGCCACTCTAAACTCTGAAGCCCAACAACCTAATGTCCCACCCCACCCCTAAACCCCCCCCACCCCCCCCCCCCAACCTAATGCCCCACCCCCCCCCACCCCCCACCCAACCGCCCCACCCCACCAACCTAATGCCCCACCCCACCCCGCCCCAACCTAATGTCCCACCCAACCTAATGCTTGCAATCATATGTGTGTATGTGTCTGTGTCGCGAATGAGAGAGATTTGGTGTCGTACATGAGAGGAATACAGGGGGGTGGTGGTGTCGCAAATGAGTCCCTTGCCATCTCTGACTCACTAACATAGAAGTGGAAAAGCACCGGGTTGTAAAGGAAAGGTGCCTTGCGTTCGGGACCATGTCCACTTCCATGTTAATCAGCAGTGCAAGCATGATGGGTGTTCCTCTCCAATCCTCCAGCCAATTCCCTTGCTCAGGTCCAGTCGACGCTCATGACCTTGGGCAAAGCCATCAAGGGCTTTGTGGTGATGTCAGCGCAACTGGAGGAGCTGCGCGTGGTGATGGCAAGGCGGTTTGCCGGAGAAACTGACTTTGACAACGAGCTGCAGGACTAGCGAAAGGCAGAGATCGAAGGTACCCAGACACTCCATGAAGGGCATAACCACCATTAAATTCACCAACGCTCATGAGGTGTTTTGTGTGTGTGTTTTTTCTTTTTGGTTTCTGGGGTCAATGTAATTATAGGGTAAATACTGGTTTTGGTGACCTGGTGGTTGGTTCGTGCACGGTTCCTTTGGGGTACCGTACTCCTACGGTACTCTTTGTTCTCAACCAGGTATAGAGCTAGCCGCTAGCCTAGCCAGTTCCGTCGAATTATTGTGCACTTATTCCCAAAGACAATGCCAAAGAACAAGGAAAAGGTGTGTTGTTTTTTCTTGTTAGTACATCATGTCTTGTCTTGCGTTTAATGACATTACATGTTCATGTTGTTGTGCTTGCGGCGCATCATGTTTATAGTCTGGAAGGGCACACAAGACCGGTGCTTTACACAAACCCGTGCCAGCCATATCAATGCCACATGGCAACATGCAACTTTCGAGCAGGACATGTACAATGCCTTCCTGTTGCAGAAACTCCCACCGAACTGGGGCGAGGCTGGTCCCACCAGTCGTGTGATGCTGGGGTGTTCGAGATGCTACAGGTCACGATTCAGTGGGGTGTTTATCAGTGGTTCCAGGTGCATGCACCATCATGTACCTAGTTTCAAACAAACACACAATGACATGACATAGAATGACCATGATGCTTTGCGCATAGCGCCCAGGGTCTCTTTGGCTTTCTGACTGGATTTCAATTATGTCGATATACAGATTTCTAGACACAACTTGACAAATTGAGGTACTGTAGTTGCCCTGGTTTTCTTCCTGATGTTTATACCGTCGGGGCACTGTACTGGGCATAATTGCTGGGTCGATTCCTAGAAAATCTAGAGAACATAAGAGATTCAGGCCATTTTTAGTCCACCTGCTGTTGTTATGCATGGCTTTCAAATGCTTGCAAGCCAACCACTGGTCTAATTACGTTGTAGGAAGAAAGATACTGGCACCTTTGAGATCCTTTGAGACGTTGGGAAAACTACTCTACTTACAGTGGCTTCGGGGCTAACTTGATGGTGCGGAGCTTGTGGCCCATGTCAAATACATATAAGCAAGTGAATATATAAAATTCTAGCATTCCATATGGATCCCTTTGATTGGATTCACTTTTGTGTAGGTTTAGAGGGTCCAAACACCTTCTAAGGAGGAGGATCCCTAGAAATCCCTCAAAAGATCCATCTAAATGAAATCGTGTGAACGTTTGAACGTTTCCGCAGACAGCGTGCTGTTTGCGGTCTCCTGCTCAGCACGGAGCCTCGCAGGTGGCTTACCCCTGTTTGAAGCCCTTGAACTCCTGGTACACCGACTTCGAGGACTCCAAATCGACGGTTTTTTGGGGGGTGTGACGTGCGGATGTTTTTTGGTGTGCCCTTTTTGAGGTCGGGCAGCTGGGAGATGCAGAGGTTTAGTTCATGTTTGAGAAATATATAGGGATATGTAGGGGTTTGCTGTGGTTGTTTGTTTCATGTGATGTCTTTTTCTTTCAAGTCAGTGTTTGGAAATGTTTGGTCCGAGGACCTCAGGAGGGATCCATCTTAGGATGTGCGGAGGGTTCACGCGCCGAGACTGAAAACGCCCCATGGGACGCCATGGCACGAAGCGTCGGACCGTGAAGCGACGACTGGCTGATTGCTAACCACTTCAACCCCAAAAAAAGGAACTGAATCGTCAGATGGAGCTGATCCTGTGAACTTAGAACTGGTCTGGTGGAACTGATCAGACTCTGTGGAACGGCAATTGCGATGTCAGCACGACCCGCTGGCTGCGTTCATTGCGTCAGGAGCGCATCGCGTTCATGACCCGCTGGCTGCAGATGGGGCCACCGGCAAGCTTCTGGGCATCTTGGCCCAAAAATCGAGCAGGCGAATTCGGTTTTGTTCAACGGGGAAGCGGATATATAACCAAAAAAGCAAGCAAACAAACCTTGTTTGACGGGGTGAAACAATCGGTTCAAAAGGAATACTTCAACCTTTACTGCCATTGGTCGTCATTTCGTCCTTGGACGTTCCAAAGCACCCTGCAGCTGAAGATTCCAGCCAGGGAGCAAGAATACACCCTCAGTAAGCAAGTGTCATCAACCAGGCAACCAGGAATGGGTGGGGCTGGTGCAAGCGAGACCAGAATGTCTTTTGAATGCTTGATGCCAGCTCTCAGGTGCCATGTTTCTACTTCCCACAAGGCTTCATGACCTGTGCCAAGCAGGTGTGATGCCGGAGGGATGAGGGCGAGGGCTTCTGGAAGAAGCGGGGCCGGACCCTTGGACTCCGGGTTTTTGGGATTCGTCGTCCATGACAGTGATATATAACGAAGGAACGCCATCATTCCTGGAAATTCCTAGATGTTCCGATGGGAGGCTTTGATGCTGAGTGTTGGGAACCTGGGCTAGCAAAGAACATCCATGTGGGAATTTGGGCAAGAAAGTTGGAAGAAGCAGAGGATAAGGAGTAGCTTTTGGTGAAGACACTCCATTTCTTGGCGGTTCTCTCCAGAACTTTCTTACTGTATAAGATTATGTTGCATTGGAAGCCAGGATTTATGATGGACTTGTTTTTTTCACAACACGACGGGGAGTGAAGCGTGGTCATTTCCAGTGAAGTGCAATGTGGCATGGCCCCATAGTGAGTATCACGCTATCGGATTTGCGGGCAAGCTTTCTGGGTTAAGTTCTCTCCATGTGTTGCTGCAAAGGTTTTTTATTTGTCCGAGAAGCATCAACAAAAGACAGCAGGGTATGTGCTGAGACCATTTACTTTCCTTTCCACCGTTGGTATTTGTCGCAGACCTTTGAGCCGTGAACGTGATGATTTGATGTAATTTTCTTGTGGATCTTCTTCTAGCAAGTGTGGGGAAGGCTCGGAACTCAAACAAAGGTACACCAACATACTAAAGGCACACATCTTGCTTTATTTTCCTGGATTCTGGATTGCCCCAACTGTGACAATTGCATGGCAGGTGCATGCGAGGAAGACAAAAATCCCCATCGATGTAACTTGGCCATGCGTGGGAGTCTGAAAACGATGTGCCTCTCCTCTCACCTACTGGTAAAAATCGATCGATACGTACTGAATCGCCTACCGACTCATGTTGTTCAATCTCTTTTTTTTGGGGGGGGCGGGGTGTAGCATGTTCCTGAACCCCAGTTGTCCCAGTTGTGTGTTGGCAGAGTGCAACAACCATGTGTCCTGCCACATTCTCCGATGCATCACCGTCTGCCGACGCAGCACCGTCTGCCGCGCTTGCGGCGTCACGCGACATGGGAGTCTCCATGTTCTTTTGTTTGGCAAGTAGTTTTCCATCAGTGCGAAGGAGGCCCAGATTCCATCAGATTCCTGTTATTGGAGTCATTGAACATCTCAAATCATCTCAAGTTGTGCTTGAAAGGATTACTCGACAACTTAATTGTCCAATCCTTCTTTGGTGATGCCTTTCTACCTCCCCAGCACCTTACCGTTCGGATGTTATGTTGATTGACCCCAACAAGCCATGTGCGAAGCATGATGGAGGGAAGCTATTCTTGGTGTGCAGTCGCTCTCCCCTTGATGATTGCAGAGGCAACGGGTTGGGTGGTATATTCTTACAAGCCCGACGAAAAGAGTCTGGGTCCTGGTGCAAGAGAGAACCACCAGCAGAATGGTGAACAGGCTCCTTCAACCCCAGCAAGAATCCCACCATGCTTGCGCCACATCAACCTCAACTTCACATGCCCACATGAATCAGTGGCGTTGACGGTGTGCACCCTTTGCCAACACTTGGGTACCGCTTGGTCTCTGCCACTGAAAGCATGTTGCAAAGCCAAAACCTGTTTTCTTATCTCCCGATCGAACCCTATGCATCCAACCATCTCCATTCTCCAACCATCTCGCCACAACAACGGCACCCCCCAAGATGAAACGAACCAACCACCTCCGTAGGCCGTGGCCGGCCACACGCCCGTGGCCGCCGAGGATCTGGTCTTTTGGCAAGAGCCCACCACTGGCACCGACCCTTCCAGCGCCAAAGCACCGGTCAGGGCGCCGAGAGGGGGGCGAAAAAGTCGCTGAACAAGCGGCATCTGTGAGGGTGAAGAACGGGAAGCTGAACCACTGGAAGGGCCTTGAATTCATGGAAGCCCATGTGTGCGGAGTGCTGAACTGTGAAGAAGATTCGACGTTTCTTTACAAGACAGCGTGTTTGGGGTTTTAAGGGTGACTTGTCTGTGTGCTTACAAGCCAGATGTAGTGGAAGAGCCATAGATGCCATGAAGATGTTTCAAGAACTTGCCGTCAAAAAGAAACGAAGGTCTGGCTCTTCAGCCACCATCATCCTCGCTTGTACATTGTATACTTTCATCCGTTCATGTCACATGCATTACGTATACAATCGTATCCATGTTGTTTGCTCTAGATGGAAAAGTTCATTGAATAGGGATCTTGGTGTCAATCTTCAGGTCAAGATAAAGTCTGGACCAGCATGATGATGGCCCTGTAAAGATACAGACTCTTTTCCACACTCTTTTCCTGTCCGCAGGATCAGGAATCGTCACCTACGGGAAACTGGCCGAAAGCAACGAAAGGGTGTTGGAAAACCCAGCCATGAAATCACCCTTGTTGGGGGTCCTCATCTCGAGGATGAGGGTGCGCCTCCGCCGGAATGATCCGGAATAGATCCAAAGTCTCGCCCCAACCGTGGGCTGATACACGGATTACTAGGCGACTAGAGTGGCTGCAAGGTGCAGCTGCTTTGTGTAGATCCACCAATAGTCACAAGTATATATCACAAGTCACATGCACTTCCATAGTATAGTTGACCGACACTCACATCCTGCATCTCATCCCTGCCGCAGTGTCTCAATCCCAGCCATGCTGTGGTCGACATGTTGCTAGTCCCCAAACCCTTAGCAGCTCTCAACGTTTCTGAGGAAGATGGAGTGAACGTTCACGGTTTCTTCCTCCAGGCAGGGTTTCTCTCGGTAGAGGCGTGAAATTGCTTTGATCTAGTCCCATTCCGTAGTTTTAACATGAGACCAACTGCAGCTGGTCAAAGGGTGTGGTCAGTCTAAAAAGACTATATATATCAGACACATGTTGGGACGACTTGCATCCAAGCCACAGCTTAATTCAAAATAACCGGGTACCATTAATATATATAACTATATTGTATTATAATCAATATATTATGGATTTTAATTTACAAGACCAACAGTCGGTGCTCTTGGTAGATATCCCTCCCTCCACATCGATTTTGTGGACCACCTTCCTCCGGGTGCGGACTTGTGGAACATGACGGCTGGTTTGTTCATGGGTTCCCGCAGCTTCCCGCGGGTTCTTTCCCGGTCTGAAGCATGTGTTCTTAGCAGGAATGTACCAATCAGCACCAATACAAGCAAGCTGGATCCTGGATACTCACATTCATTCATGTTGTTATATGGTCATCAATCATCGGGTTGCTTCTGCCTGTCAGAAAAGTGTGGGAGGAATGTGGAGTAGATAGAATATGGGGAAATCAAACAGGAAAAGGGTCATGTTTCTGGATTGGTTCATATTCTATCTACTCCAGGATGGTTGTATATGTTTATCAGCTGGAACGTATGGGAGGTGCCAGTACTTTCATTGTCCCAACCCTGTGAAGATCTCCTTCGGTCGCAACATCACTGGCCCCGACGGTCAGTGGATCAAGGACGCCCTGACCCTCCAACACCCCCACCCTCTTGGGACCTTTGGAAACTCCAAGAACAGTCCAAACCAAGCCACTTTTTTCTGTTTTCCTTGGCATCTTCCCCACCCTGCAGGGCGCTGGATGGGATGTGAAGAAAGTGAAGATGGTCGAGTCCGAAAAGGCCGCGGGTCGCTGGGCCAACCCGCGTGGGGCGATGTTTGGATCAAGTGCCACGGAGCCTGAATGCATCTTCATGAAGGACTCCCATTCTTTGGTAGGATGTTCAGTTTGCATCGCTTTGCTGGGAACCCCCTGCGTGGGTAGCCAATAGCTTGGCTGGCTGGCTGGCCATACATAGACCAACTGTCTCAGCAGCCAACAGCAGGTTGGTCAAAGTCCCTTCTGGGACCGTTCGACCCTACGTTTCGTCCTCTAGGAAGATCCATTTCCAGAGAAGCAATGGTCAGCACTTCAGCAAGTCTGGAAAGAGGCAGCCCGCTGTGGAATGTGGTTTGTCAGAACTTTGGAGTATGTCGGTACTATATATGCTACTCATAGCTGGGAACCCGAAAGCGCTCCTTGCTCGACAGGTCACTCTCATTGTTCAACGGGCCATCGACAATCCATGTGCGGTCCGCGTCGGTCCAGTCGTCAGCGATCAGCGTGTCGTCAACGCGCGTTGAAAAAGAGAAACTGATAACTGGGACACGTAGTTGAGACTGTTGGCCCCCACCCAGCCCCCAGCTGCCTCCAGCTGCCTCGATTGGCCGTCTCAAAAGACGGTTCGTGTTGGACTCGATCCATTGGGATCGATCCTACTCAGCTGGAGGAGCTGAGGCTGAGGCTTTCTGCCTCAGAACAGCCTCAGTGGGTCGGCCGGTCGCTGAAGAGGTTCAGATCTGGTCGGCTTTAGGTGATGCAGTCGGTCAGAGCTGCGTTTTGGTTAGAATCTCTGTCTTGGCTTTGCCAACATGTCTTTCTGAGGAGCTGATCTGCAGCAGAAATATTAAAGGACGCCTCCGTAAGATTTAGTTCAGGCTTATTGCATAACGAGCTTTGAGCGGGCCCAAAGCGTTCCACATAATTGCCATAACCTTGCCTTGAGTTGGTCCGCAATTTGCGCCAAATCACGAAGAAGGATTGTACCTTCATGGGCTATGCACCTAGGTGAGAGAAGGTGCCTTTAGCTTGGTGGTCCTCTTCATTGCCGCTCTTGGAAGGAAGCATGGCTACTTGGGTTGCCCAAACCGAGTAAGGCCCAAGAACCTTTGGGCGCTTCTATGGAACCGAGAAGCCAGGCCATTCAGGTCGAACGAAAAACGGTCCGAGCCAGATGCTGCGCTTGGTTTTCGCTGATTGGTCTCCCCACCCTTTGCGCTTACTCTCCCCAATCGCTGGACCCGTGAGCCTCCGCTGCCGCGTGGTGGGCGTATGGTGATCGTTCAGGGTGGATCTCCCCACGTCTCGCTAGCGCGGAGACACACTGCAGTGTTTTGCTTCGCTGCTGCGGAACGAGTGAAGTTGACAGACCTTGGGATCGGTTTGAACTTAACAGTCAGGTACTTGTACAAATGTTTGAGAAGGGAGCAGGTGGAGACGTTGGAGACAACTTTCTTTTGTTTGGGTTAGAGGGTGTCTCGGGCAGGAGGGGATTCCTCGACCTAGCTTTCCTTCCCCTGCGGCAGGGTCGAAGACTGTCAAAGCCCCAGAGGTTGGACTGTCAAGACCTGTATGGTTGGTCAATATAAACTTAGCTGGTTCCCAAAACCCACAAATCCACGAGAACCCCGAAAGTGTCTCAGAAGTGGGACTTCCAAGCCCGCAAACAGTTTGTTTTCATGGAAGAGCTTGCATTTGCCACAGAGGTTTTGAGGATTTTTTATTTTCATTTTCATACCCTTCATACATATATACCAGCAGACCCACTTTGAAGACAAAACTGGGTCGACTCCTGCTCAGGTTCCACTTCCATCATTGGAGGGCGCGTACTTATATAATTAGAACCCCAAACCCTTGAAACACACCTGTAGCACTGCCAACAGGTCACCAACAGGGCCTAACCATCCACAGGAGACCTATGTTCCCCGGGTGCTGGTACCCAATACCTTGTTTTACTTCTTGGTCAACCGCGGATGCGGCTGCGGAAGCCGGCCTTCTTGCCCGGGCCAACGTGGCGAGGCTGTGCTCTTCAAAGAGCTTCCAGTGACCTGGATCCAAGTGGTGGAAGAGGCGGTCATGGCGTGGCTACGCTGTGGGATGCTGGGTCATGGCACCCGGCATGCTTGGTTGCACCCTGGTTGCCCGGTTGACCACCCTGGTAGGTTGACCATGTAGAGCTCATGAGTATAGTCTATATCTATCTACTGTATTTCTGTTCATGTTCGGTGGCAATCAAGGTGCCCCAATTTGACCAATAGCCCAGTGACGGCTGCGGGGTTATTGTTCACTGGCCCCGCTTGTTGTCGACGACTTCGGTGCATGAACCGCAAAGTGAGTCTTGGGGATGTTTGGGGTAAGAGTTATATGTAAGTAGTTGGTTTGGCAGAAGGGGCAGAGAGTATACGTTGCGTGGAAGGCGTTGCAACCATATTGGTGGAATTAGTTTTGTATTTTCCTAGTCTATACATATATATATATATATCCTATACAAGAACCTAAGGTTTCTAGGTCTGTATGTCTTTGGAAGCACTGCAGTTCTTCAACCACCTAGTTAGTTTAACATTCTGAAACCCTGGTATATGGGATTCCGTTGGAGTCGCTGGCAGATTTTCTTCTAAGAGGTTCAAGTGTCCTAAGAACATCTACAAAAACATCAACACTTCGAAACATGCATTTTGGAAGACCAGTGAATCAGTGACTGAATTGTTTCTCATTTTGCCTTGGATCAATCGTAAAGCCGGACCGTCCACTGGACCGTTCCATCCACAAACGGACCGTCCACTGGACCGTCGACCGAAGCGGCGGGGCGCGACTGAAACTGGATGCCGCGCGATGCCGCGTGGCCAGGAAGTCCATCAGAAAGTCTCCAAAGAACCGGGAAGGCCATCGGACCCAGATCAGTCCACTTCCGGCACGGAACCGTGTGGAAGTGTTTGGTGGAAGCTCTAGGAGCAGTGTTGTTCTCTCCACAAAACATTGCACGTTACAATTGCACAAAAGCTAGGCAAATTGGTAGGGTCAACTGGGTTCCAGGATACGTTTGCATTTATCTCGAGTTCGCGGTGGCCTCCGTGATTTGGGGAAAAAGATGTCCCATCTGCCTCCAGCTGTGGGACCCCCTCCAGCTGTGGGATCACTGCACTTGTTTCTGTCTTAGAGAAGCAGTGACCACCAGAAACAACCCTTCCCGTCCCGTCCCGATGTGAGACGAAACGAACACCATCCCTGGAAGAAGTCTCCCAAAAAGAGACGAGTAGACAGCACTGGTAGGAACGGGGACGATGGGCTGAGGACGATGGGCCGGTGTTTCCATCATGTAGACTCTTGATTGATACCCCCCCATATGAAGGGCTTTTTAATTGAAATGGTGCGAGTTATTGATCAAGAGCCTACATTCGCCTTTTTATGAGCTTCGCATGGTTGCCCCATGGTGGCAAGGAGGTGTTTTTCACGCATCGGACGACCGGTATCATACGGTAACCACGACGGTGGGGTCAACAAATCGGCCAACCACTGCAGCCAAGGAGGAGGTGTCAAGGTCAAGGACAAAATTGCAGGAAAGACATGGTCTCCAGTCCATTCAAAGTTTGACTTACTTTTTGATAATCAAGGGCTTGCTTTACTCATTACTCTATATTATTACTCTCATCATCTCTCATCTGTTGGTCACATCATCACTCCAATCCCTACATCAGAACACTATATATATATATGTGTATATATCAATATTTGATATCCTCCAGTGAGTGCAAGTCAGCAGTGGTTTCAGGCATCATCCAGTGGAATCATCTGATCATAGGATGCAGGAAGTCCAAGGTCTCAAGGGTCGACCATCGGGTCGGCCTCTTTGTAGAACGGCTTCATCCGGTGGTCCTTCGCCCCGGGGTCCACTCGTCCATCCGCCTTCGCCCCGCACGCCGCACACAGAGGTTCGGTCTGCTCGTGCGGCCGTGAGGTATACTTGCCCACTGTACAAGACCTCCTTGCGCAAGGGCACATTAGCCACCACAGGCATCGGTTGAAGGTGGATGTTGGTTGAAGGTGGATGCCTGCAGCAGGTGCCCTGAGTTGACAGCGGTACCGAGCCCTGCGGCAGATGCAGGAGCCCTACTAGCAATACGAACTGAGCGAATGGCATTACCTAGAACTACCTCGATGCAAGGGTTTGATTCTTTTGGGGCCACCTTCCGAACTGCTTTTTACGAACAGACTCAATTGTCTCAATTGTTACGAGGTTTGAGAGTTTGGTTCTAAAGGCTTTTTGAAGGAGACCTGTTCTCTGAATTAGGAAACTCGAGTTGTGACATCATTTTGCCTCTGGGATTTGACTGAGGTATTGAACTTGATAGGCTTAGAAGAGGTGGACATCTAGGACATGCCAGACCATAAACTGTTCTAGCAATTGTGGTCCTCCGCAAGTAGAAGACAAACAATGACATAATTCCAGGACTTGTGAGGATGCATGACTCTACCCAAGCTGTCCGGGTATGGAAGATTCTTTGATCATGCTAGTTATACCTGTTCCTTACCAACTTTTGGATCATGGGTGTTTAGAGGCATTCCCTTGTTCATCCGTCAGATCATGTCAGATCAGTTTTTCATCGTCCACTTGTCCAACCAGAACAATACCTTCCATGTTTCACGTCTCTTCCAGATGGGCGATGGCGGTCAACTGTTTGGCAGTCAACTGAAGGTGGTGTAACCAACATGGTCCATGTGTCGAACCAGGCCACTCCACCAACTTTGTGTGCTATTTCCACCTCCCCAGCGACGTGGAGGCGGAAGTCGAGTCGACGCGACGATCGTGACGAAGCTGGGTGGTTCGGCCTGCGATCCACAGATACCGTGGTCCCCAAGTAGATAGAAATGAATTGAAATGAATACATTCTGAACTTGGAGGGTCTGAGTGTCTTCTGAGAAGGTATATGGATCCCTAGGGTTTGTGAACTGGTGAACTGTTGATGGTGAAGGGTATGATTGGTTTGAAGGTTCCTAATCCAGTTCCGACTGGTTCACCAGTGCAACGACTATGGACGGGATCCACTGGGCTTGGCAAGGGCTGAATTCTGGTGGTCCATTTTGATCGAGGCACGGCCAGCCAAGGGTGACCGAGTGATCACCGGGAGTCAAGGAAGGGAGTCGAGGGTCTTTGTGTATGTCACGTAATCATTAGCCTCATATACTGTATTATATAGCGTTATGTCAATTGAACCGAACACTACAGTACCCAAATTGGGTGTGGAAGTCGGGGCTACTCGGAAGAAGGATATACTTAGTATATATATATAACTATATATATTATGTTTTTGTTTAACCCATCAGACGGAGACATCGATCAAATGAACGCAACGTCCACCTCAGTGCTCCCCAAGCAAGGGTACGTCCGAGCATCCGCATTCCCCGAACACCTGAATGCCGTCGGCCTCTCTTCCTCGCTTCGACGACGCGCGTATGAGCACAGCACCTTTGGACAGGACCAAGGGCATTGGGTACGACGCGGAGTTGCTTTGTTGTGCCACGAGCTCGGCTTGTACAAAAGCACAACACAGAGACGTGAAGTACACTCGCCACTCACATTAAAATATAGTTGAGAACTTGGCTATATAGACTTGATACTACAGCCTGCAGGTGACATGTGAGGCCATCCAATAATCCCAACAAGGAAGCTATGAGAACCCGGCATATTCCCTTGTTTTCCTATGGGTAAATCCCTTTTTGGGTGCTTGGACAGCAAATCCAAGCTGTTCAAGACACAGACTGTCAAGTGTTTGCAGCGGAACGCACTTTGCCTGTGGAGTAGTTTTTCCAATGGGGCCATACTGTCCACGTTTGGTCTTGGACGCGAGAATTCTCTGGGACTTGAAGTCTCTCTCTCTCTTTGTTTTTTTTGTGTGTGTTTAATCACGTGAATGTATTGAGATATCAACACCACTAGTTTTATTGTACCAGATGGTCTTTGCGAGTTTTAAGTACGCATACTTCAATGGTGAATGGTTGAATGGTTGATACCCATCATATGGGTGTGGCTAAGCAACAAGACTCCCAGAACTCTGCATGCGTTGACAGTTGTGCCTGCAAGGCATACGATCTGTTTCAGCAACATGTGTTTTGGTCAATCTTTATTTGTTGGCCATTTGTGCATCACTACCTCCTTAGTTTAACATACACCTCACCGCTGACATGGCCAAGGTATGCTAGATGAATAGTTGGACATAGTAGTGGCTGCGTGAAAGCTGCGGTGTTCCTAAAAAGGGAGCGCTGCCTCAAGCGCAGCCGAAGTGGCGCGGGTTTAGCGATGTGGCCGCACGCGACATGGCCAAGTGATTTCAGTGCAGGACACCTAGACCTTGAGAGAAGTATCCTGTCGCCCAGTGGACATGAAGGACTCCACAGCAGGCACAGACCCCCAAATCACGCAGTGTGGCCTCCAAATAACGTGGGAAAGTGTTGCTCAAAACCACGCTGATGGATGTGGGATGTTTAAGATTCGATCATCGATCCAACCGAAAGACACCATGTCTCGCGGCGATGTCGGTCAAATCCTGCGGCGGCTCATCTCAAAGATGGCCCGTTTCTCGCAGAACGCGCCTCTCACGTCGTTTCACGTCCCGGTTGAACACTGGGGCTTTTAGGCTAATTGACTCGGGGCATCCATGCTTGTTTTGTTAAAGAACTGGTCTGTAACTCGCAGGAGTGTGTTGGAATGGTGGAGGTGTCCAGAGGTCAGGTGCGTATTGCATATTCATGTGCAACGAACTGCACAACCTTTCGAAAGAACTTGGCAACTATGGCAACTTGGCACCCTTTGCCTTTGTGGGGTGTATTGGATTTCTCCGTGGATGTCAGTACCTTGGTTACCAGAACTGGGGTTGAACTCAGCTGTGTGGAAGACATGCATACATTTTTATGTTGGGTCTATCCTAATACCTGTAACAGTGGATGATTATGGTTTGTAAAGGCCTTGTTCAAGAGTAGTAACATGTAGTAACAACTGTTTACTGACTGTTACAGGTAATAGGACAGACCCAAATTTTATGTGTATATATCATGGATCCACGTTGATTAAATAATGTGTTTCTCTTTGTTTTCCGGTGTCAAGGTCTACATGGAATCTGATGAACTACCAAGGAATCACTGGTTTGTTTTGTCGGTCCGTTGCTAGATGAGACTCCCAATCAACAGAAAGGGGTCCTTATTTACTTGCTTGAAAGTTGTTCTCTAGTTGCAATACATTTAGACACACCGGTTGATACTAATGTTGTTTGACAACATGCCATTCCTGCCAGTTCATGATCATGAATATAATTCGTCATTTAATGTCATATAGCCTGCAAGAACCACCAAAAGCCCAGAAGCTACTAGGAGCAAGAAGCTACTAGGGGCTCCTGGCCTTACTGCTAGGAACAAGAAGCTACTAGGAGCAAAGGGCATCGCTACGAACGGAGCAAGGGCGTTTTCCTTTGAAGTTTCCTTGGATCCCCCAGGATGGTCGGCTCCACTGAACCCCGCGTTTCACGCGGTTTTTCGGCCGCGCGTGACGTGAGTGGTGGGGAAATGGGAGAGGTGAGGGGCGAGATTGGGGGTTGTTCGTTGTTTTTTGGTTGTTTGTCGCCGGTCTTTCGTTCGTATCGTTTCCTGACTCAGTCATTTTCAAGTAGAGAAGATGGAAGGACTTGAAACACGTCCCCTGGATTTGGTGATGAGACTTGTCCCATTGAGAATCCCGTTCTAGGGAAACTTGGCACTATGTGAGCAACTGCCAACACCTCCGATGAAGGCAGCACCACTACAGTGAAGACTAAGTAAGTAAGGTGAAGGAAACCTTGAGGAACGATAAGGTTCAAAGAAACATATATAATGTTGCTAAGAGTGCGCACTACAACATATTCACCGTGTTGAAGGCTGCGTTGTGACCCGAGATACCTTTGGTCAGTTGAAGGCTGCTGAGAGCTGACTAGTCGTAGCCGACTAGGCAGTCGTCAGACTCCGGTGTTTGCCGATCGAAAACTGGTTGTGCCCGGAAGACAGCACAATATCGCCCCGAAAATGCCGGTACACTGGTGTTGCTCGACCCTTTTTTTTGGAGCATCCATTCTCATCGGGGTGTGTTCTACAATCATCATTCTTTTGGAGAATCCATGACCAGATCGTTGTTGACTTCAGACCTCAGAGTGGAGCATATCTCATCTACAGTACCGCATTTGCTTTGGCAGATGAGCCTCAATGAAGCGGTCCCGGGAGTCCAGAAGAAGTGGGTGACGAGTGTTTCTTTCTCTTCAGCCTCAAAATCCAGAGAAAAAGTGGCAACGAAGAAAAGGGTTTGAGGATTACTTTGTGTATGTGATCCTCGGGGCAGCTGCGGAATGCCGTGCCTTCGTACTCGTTTGCTACCCCTGAGACTGGATGTTTTGTAGCAAGGTCCGGGACAGGAATTGGCATGTTTGCAGTTATTTGGCCCATCAAGCAGCAAGACCGCATGACCACCGCTTTTTCACGCGGAGACCCACTACGGGGTCATGCTGACTATAGCTTTGCCTGACTGCAGTTCTGTTGCCACAGGCGCAGCAGTCTACCACTCAACACCTTGGTGATGGCAGCTGAATCTCCTTCGGTTTAATAGAGCGCCTATACAAACCAATACAAGTATTCTTATCCATTACATCCACAGCCTCACCACCTACCCTCAGCCAACCACTCACCCAGCCATCACACAGCCTTCAGATTGTGGTCCAATCTCTCCGCACCGTGCCATGTCGCATGATGTTTCGGCTTTTCTTCTCACAGGAGCGGCGTTTGTTTCGGAAGTGTCCCGTCGGCGAGGAAGACGATGCGTCGTGCGGGACCCGGAGCCGTTTGGATTCTTAGAGCAGAAGTGTCCCAGAAAGGAACACATTCTTTCAAGACTTCTTCCAGGTCTTGGATGTTTATATGGCGTTTCCTTCGGGTTTGGAACGGAGTCGGAAGGTTTTGGGTTCTGACCTCGACGGTCTTTCTCGCGCTATCGCCCTCAGGAGCCCAAGACTCCATCGGCTCCAGCGCCAGAGGCAGTTCCGGGATCTCGGCAGTTCCGCAGGACCTTTCTGCCGGGGTTCGGCAGATCAATGCTTTTGGGATCTTTTGGGCTTTGGGTGTGTGACGGGATGGATGGATCCATGTATGGATCGATGTGTTCTCATGTAAGAAAACAACACAGAAACCAATGCTACAACATCGCGGATCCCAAATCAAAGTTTCATTGATGTCGGATCATCGATATATTTGAGAGCCTTGGAATGCCCCCCAAATCAGCGGTTTTTGTCCACGGTGTGGCCCTTTTTGCGCTTGAAGCTTCAGGCGCCGGAGCGACCGGTGGACGATTCCGGCGTGGCGCCGCGGGAAGAAGCGAAGCTGAGGCGCCTTCAGTGGCGGAAGTGGTGAGAGAACGAGGGAAAGGCAAGACAGAGCTCCGAGCTCAACAGAAGAGGGGTAGAGCTCATGAGCTCAATGAGCTCTTTGTTTTTTTGTTGGGTTGACTTTGAAAGCTGAAATATCTTTAATTGTTGATGAATCCGTGGACTCCTAGGGACTTACCTTTGGAAGAACTTCAACCCCACCAACCCCACCGTTCACTCGAGCACCCGTGGTCGGCGCCACTTGCTGGCCAGGCCCGGTCTTCCTGCCCCCCTATGGAGGTCTCCCTAGAATCAACACCCTAACATGATCACGATTCGGAATGTGGGGAGCTTCTTCTGCACGATTCTTCTGCACCCAAGTTGCATCCAATGGATCAGGGCCGTCCCTATCCATTTGGATGGATCAGGCCCCACGTAACCTTCGAACATCGAGGATCTGCCTGTGACCGGCAGACGTGGAACTGGCCGGAGCGAGGTCACACTGGACTTGACCGTGGCACTCGAGAACGACTGAGTGCACTAATTATTACTAACCAGGACCTTTAAAGTGACCCTTTGATATCCCAGGATGAGGTCACTTAGGTCTGTACAACGTCACTTAGAGACTCCAAAGAGGTGACTTTGAAGGTCCTGCAATATAATATTCTGGCCAATATATGACTGGGATTCTTACTAGGTCGACCATCTGCGAAATCCAGCGTGGTTCCATCAAATCCCTATGGTTTTCTACTCAGTTGCTTTTGTTGAGCACAGAATTGGGTGCCACGGCCTTTGCGGAGGCGCTTGCTGGCGGATTTGGATGCCAGCAGCGAGAGCAGTGAGAGTAGTTCCAGCGACACTGACAGGAGCGAATACTTGGATCGGCAGGTCAGAAAAGTGTGGAAGAGGGAGACAAGACCTAACATCCAAAGGAAACATAAAATGCCAAAACCCATGGGCGTGGGAAGATCCAAGAAATTTATTGTTCTATTGACAGTATCAAAGCAATCATTGTCACAGGAGTTCATCGAATGGGTCTGCCTTTGGGGATCTTTGTGCCTTTTGAAAGCATGTCCGTTGGCCAGGTGCATGCCACTCTTTGAGAAGTAGCGGGAAGTAGTAAATGAAGCACCATAAATGCCGGTTGTTTTTCCTTGTCCCAGGTGGTGCAGAAGTTTTTCTATTTAAGTGTATAACCGAGAATATGCATGGACTACAAGGTGCAGAGAACGAAGAGGACGAACCGCTACGGTGGCTATGGTGTGTGAGGGTGTGGGTAGGTGGGGGTCGACTCTTTAGGACGAGACAAACGTCCGTCCGTCGAGGAATCTACAGCTACAGCAGAAGGCGCACAAGATAACAAAAACACAGCGTCACCCATTAGGACACGCGAAGCCTCCGGCCGGCGGATTGTTTGTACCAAAACAATAGCTTTCGAGATCCCTTCCCGCCGCTTGAAGCCGCTCTTCGTGGCTGTGATTCACAGCGCTCACATTTTGGTATCAAAATCGCAGCTCTTTGCTGCAAGATCCGTATGATTCCGTAGGCCTCGTTTGATGCATTAATATATTATATAGCTTATATATAATGCGTTGTGATTCGCTTGCGAGTGTCCTAGTTCTACAACATGACCCCATGGCTCATTCAAGAGCCGCTGATTTGTTCCTATAGAACATGATTGCGGCTCACTTCCTCCAGGTTCGATATGCGCAACCATCGCTGAGGGTTCGTTCAAACGTAGGCCGTGGGTCGCCGGACGGGTGTTCGCATGGTTCCTATACCGTAAGCTGCGTAAGCATCGTTTCTTTTTTTTTCAGGTGTACGGTAAGCTTAGGGCTTAGTCATCCCTGCCTGCGACTGGCAACTGAAAATCTGTGCATTGTTGCATAATATGTTTGCTAATCAGGAGTTCCTAACATGCTCATAGACCCATCCACTGAGTGAATGAGAAGCCCCAGCCTC